GGAGAGGACAAAAAAATGAAGGAGGGGAATCCTATCGTATTCTTTACCAGTGTGTACAACCCTTCATTAGCATAAATTTCAGGTCACCCACTTTCTCTGGCAAAGAAATGGTTTCCACGGTGTGGAGACGCCTTCTGACACCAATTTGAGTTTTTATGAGTACAGTAGCAGTCGAGTTACTGCAGTGGGCATGTTTGTGGCAATACAAAGGGATCAGGTCTTGTGACAGTTGTATTAACCCACCAAAGATTGTTTAATGGGGAGAATTACACAATTCATGACAGAAGATTTCCTTTCTCAATTTAATGAATCATTGTCTGCTGTGATGTTTATTTTCCTACTTTATGTATTAAACACCCCTTACCATTACCCTTTGTGATTTTTTTTTAGGAAACTATGGGGAAAGTGGGATGGAAGCGTTCAAAGACATGGCAGCCAAAGAGGGCATCTGTATCGCCCACTCTGGTAAGAGACTGGTTAACACAACCATAGTAAACTATACATCAATCAGCCACAACATTATGACCACCTGCTTAATACTGTATACACAGGAGTCAGTGTGGCAGTTGGTCAGCACTGTGCATCATCTGTTTGCTTCCATAGTTCTACTGCCAGGAATAGCACAAATGTGTTGACCATTGAGTGAAAAACCTTTTGTAAAAGGAGTGAAAACTGTGGCCATGAGGACGAGTGCAGCCTCCCCGCTCTAGGTGTGATATCATCACTACAGCTGCTGAATGTTTCTCTTCATAGAGACCAGTGTTTCTCATTTTCAACCATTTTAACAAAGATTCAAATAAAATTGAATCTTTTAAGAAGGATGAATGACATTTAAAAGTTTAATTTACAGTAGATCAACATCATCAGTGAGCCTTGGGCGTTGGTTCACTGTTTGTTCTTTCTTAGACACTGTAGGTAGGTACTAACCACTGCAGACCGAGAACACCCACCAAGACCTGCAGTGTGGGAGATGATCTGACCCAGTCGTCAGACATCACAGTTTGCTCCTTGTCAGTCACTCAGGTCCTTACGCTTGTCTGTCTTTCCTGCTTCCAACACATCAACTTCGAGGACTGAATGTTTTCTTGCTACCTAATATACCCGACATACTGTTAGATACCATTGTAACTAGATGTTTTTCATCTGTCAGTGGTCAGATCTTCTATACTACAGACATTTATAGTGAATTTATGTGTGTATAGTTTAGTGTAAGGGTTTACCATCTACCATCAACACAGATGGCAAAAAGCAACGCTTAAATCTCTTACATTTCATGAAGCACAGACACCCTGGTGTCAGCAGTTAAAATAAAGTTTACTGCCATTTAAATTTACTGACATCTGATAAACAAAAAGACATACAGTTATTATACAGTTTGCAGTTTCATACTGTGGGTGTCAGGTGGCTGACAATTGAGTACAATAATGAAATAGAGAAAATGACACACAAAAAGAAACTTTCATTTGTCTCACATGTTCTGTTCAGGCAAAATCTGGAGCAATGCTGGAGAGCAGAGCTTTGACCGGCTGCTGGAAAGACTGCGGGCCCACCTACCCAAAGCCAGAGTGGTGGCATGTTTCTGTGAAGGCATGACTGTCCGTAACATCCTCATGGCCATGAGACGCCAGGAGCTGGTAGGAGAGTTCCTTCTCATCGGCAGGTCAGTGGAGCCACAAAGCTAAGTTTCTGTTGTTTATTTGGGCTGCACAGCATTTCTCCTGAGAAATTGGTCTCTTCCTGTATGTCCTGCGAAATAATTGCTGAAATGATCAAGGTAGATCATTGCTTTCCTCTTTACTCTGTGCCTGTGCAAAATTGGATAGTCTTTAGGTTTTGAATATGACTGAAGCTGTAAAAATCAGATGCAGTCTGTGTTCAGTAGCCCAGCAGCTGTGTTCAAACTGTGTGATCCACTGGGTATTTCAGCCACTGGATGTTTAAGAGGGCAGGTGTAGAGGCAGCGTTGCAGCTCTGTGCTCTTGGAGAGCCATTGAGGATTATAAACACAGAGCTATTAATGTTAAAATAGGAGCCCCGTAGGTACTCCAAACTAAATGCAATCCAGTTCTTTGTATAACACATTTATCCTGGTGGTGATTATCAAACTTCCTAGTTGCTTCAACCTGGTGTTGGAGCAGCGGTGCTGGCTGCCTTCTGCCATGCTTTGAGTTATTCCATACACATCCCCAGATAACTGTGACTGATTGTAGAGTCTGCCTTCTTGACAAATGTTATTTTTTAATTTTGTGACTCATTGTTTATGCTAATGACGATTAAGGAGAAGAACAACCCTAATAGACCAGTCACTGTTATTAGCTGAACTGAATTTGACAAATACAGATATTGCATTTATTGTGATCAATGTAATTACTACATGACTCTATTTATTTTTTCGGATGCTTGTAGAAGAAGTCTTTAATTAAGAGGGAGTGGCTTGCTTCTGCTCTAAACACCTGCAGAAAACCCATGTGTGGTCATCAAAGTAGTAGCCAGAGCTTGACATTACTACTGAGCCATCAGCATAATTTTTTAATTTAGACATCAGTTGAACTAGTTTATTTCGAACCAAGAACCTTCTGTCTTTCCCAGCCTACTGTATGTACAATGGTGGAGCAGTAGTCAGTGGATGACAAACACAGAAGCACCCTCAATGGTGTTAAATGCTACCAAAATAGAACTTGTATCTATTCTTTACAGCAGGAGACATGGTTGCCCTTCACAGAGACACACATGCTGTTTTGAATTTTGGAGGTGGTTGTTCTCACTTTGATGAATTCCTCCCACAATTCACTTGTAAAAATAACCTTCCAATCAGGTTTGTGTGTGTGTGTGTGTGTATGTATGTATACGAATGTGGTTTCTAGACCTCTTGGTTTGGTTGCCATGCCAACTGAGTAATTAACATAAGGTGAATGAGTTTAGCACCTATGTGCAGAGATCAGAATAGATTTTGTAACATTATCATGTGATTACCATTAAAATCCCGCATATATAATTGTGTTCAATTCTATTCTACCAGTTGACATCTCCACCATGGCGCTCACTGTCATCATACTCATCTTCATCTACATCATCGTCATCTTCATCATCCTGTAGAGACCGAGGTAAAGTCTTAAACCACAGTAATTGTGTTGTATATCCTGTTATTATGTAACAGATTAAAGTGGAAGCAAAGAGAGTGATAAAACGTAGAGAAATCACGTAGGCAGGAACAAAAAGTCATTTTGTGCATTACAGTAAGTCGAGGTGGCGGCGTTGGCCAGCTGGAAGCTTGTGAGGATTCTCTAGTTTGTCATTGTTTCTTTGGCTGGAGCGCCTGCGTGGAGAGCAGTGGGATCTGGAGGGTAACGGGAGGCTCCATCACTTTACACTCTTTTATTCAAGTTCATTGCTGTCAGATAAAACAGAAGCAGCTGGTGTAGCACATGGATTTCCCACAGCTCCCCAGGACAACAGTAGATGGAACAATGACTGTTTTGCACTGAAAAACTGCAACTCACGAATGGAATGACAAGAGGGACGGGGGTTAGCGCTGTCACTTCACAGCAGGAAGGTTCTGGGTTTGAGCCCAGGCCAACCCGGTGCTTTTCTGAGTGGAGTTTGCATATTCTCCCTGTGCCTGTGTGGGTTCTCTTCAGGTACTCTGACTTCCTCCCACAGTCCAAAGATATGCAGCTTAGGTTGATTGGCGACTCTAAATTGTCCGTAGGAGTGAGTGTGTGTGTGTGGTTGTTTGTCTATACAGTATGTCAGCCCTGGACTGCCTCTGGCCCAGTGTCAGTTGGGATTGGCTCCAGCCCTGTGGCCTTATTCAGGAATAAGCGGTATAGAAGATGGATGGATGGGTGACAAAAGGAAAAAAAATTTTTACTAGTAAATATGGAAAAAGAAGTAGAGCAGTTGTGGGACTTGTTACACCAGAAAGAATTAAAATTTTAACAACTTTAACTCACTAGTGTTATTTGGTATTCAGTCTGTGAAGTTGTTACCTGACGGAACTTGTTCCCAAATTAAATCCACTTGTTCCAGAAGTTGCTTTTAAATTGTGTAACACCATTTTGACACCCATAGTACAGTCTAAGGCTGAATATACAGCTTACTGGCATGTAACTTTTTTTTTCTTTTTTTTGCAGTATGTCTAATAATCTCTGCCTCTTGCCAGTCTGTTTTGATTAGGTGGGTTAATATGAATATCAGCCTTCATTAGCATCAGCATCCTAAACTGACCGTAGTTGTAAATTGGAGGTGGTCACAGGTGGGTGCCCTCACTGGAGGCCTGTGGTGTGAACTTCTTATTAGTCCAGTCGGGCAGACACACATTTAACACCAGGTTAATTGCATTACCACAAGACCACACAGATTATGATTAAGCTGATTAATCCATTGCCTAGGGCAGTTAACTGGTCTTCAATAGAACAACATGAAATACCACAATGTCTAGATCTTTGAGGCAGGCTTCGAGCTGCACGATATACAACAATTTAATGTGAACACTGATCCTCTGTAATGTAAGTCTGTCTGTGGACTGCCTCTAACATTGTTGGGGTCACTGTCTGATTTGATCCTCAGTTTATAAGTAGATTTTTATGACAGTGATGTATCTTCCATCCTCTCATTGTGAGAAACACACATACGTGTACCCCTTTCTGACTGATGCAACAACCCACTTCTGCCATTAGACTGACATGGCTTCACCACACTGCTCCTGATAAAACGTCGATGTATGTAACATTATTGTAGACAATAGTATCAGCCTCTTTGCTTTTTACCCTTAAATGTTTTCCTCAGATTCCAAGTCATTGCTACTTTTAAGTTTAGCTCCTTCATGACAAACTATACCTGTAGTTGTATTTGCCCATGACTGTTCAGTAAATATAATCTTGTGTTGTACAGCTTTGTCATTTAATGTTCAAGCAGCATACATTGGCCTGAAGTTGATAACGGTGATGATAAAATTAACATAGAGCTATATTAATAATGTAATGCATAAACTCAAGATTCTGTAGTGCAGTGATGGCTTCAGAGTGACATGAGGAGTTTTTATTGTTCTTCTAGAAATAACCCTAAAAACCCACATCAGGTCCCGGGGCTAACTATCAAATCCCACGAGAACCATGTTGCATGCTCAAACATTTGTTTTCACTCCACATGGGGACTTTACATTGACTTATTTATGTCCTGGAGACTTACCTTAACCATAACCCCTACTTGCATAAGCCTTACTCTGACCTTGAACCAAGTCATCATCTGAAAATGTAATAATTTAGAAGTTGGGGACCAAAATTTATTCCCCATGAAGAAGGCTGAGTCCCCACAATATGTGTGTGTAAACAGCTGTCATTCCCCACAATGTGGATGTTACCATGCACACACAGTCTGAAAAAATTGATTGCTTCTGTCCTATAATTCCTCATGGTGCCAGCAGGCTACAGACCCATTAGTGATTAACTGGGCTGAGATAAATATCTATAGCCACATGAGACACACACTCTTGTACACACATGTATAGTATAGTGTTTCTCTGACTCTGAAATCAGCCTCTTATCTGCCTTCAAGTGAAACATCGTCTGCTTTTGTAAATTCAGATAAAGTCTTGTTAACGACATGTTCAGTAAAATGTGTTCATAAATGTTGCCAACACTTCATAGTCCCTGTACCCATATTTTGCAGCCAAACCTCCAAACTAAACCCGTAGTACATATTGAATTAGGCCAAACAGTTTTTGGTGATGCTTCCTGTTGCAAACATGAACAAATGCTGTCGGACTTGAATCCTCTCAATGATGTATTTAAGAATCGTTGCAGCATGTATGTGTGTTTATACACTGTACCAGATAAATCTACAATCTACAGAATGTTAGAGGAGTGACTGTTTGGATAGATGTGTGTCTCACTGGGGCAGGCAGCAGAAATACCTTCTTATGCACATGCTCACACAAAATGCACTCCATAAATGTCCATCCAAGTGAGATCTTATCAGATGGTCGGCTTCATGGCAACATAACTGTATTTTCTGGTCGGTCGTTCCAGTTTGAAAGATGTTTTGCTATCAAACGCTATCTGCTCTCTGCCTGTTGCTGCACTCTATCCATGTTATTTACTGTGTCAGTGGCTATATTTTGCGACTTGTGAGTTCTGCAGCAGACTTCAGGGAAACATTTTCTGTACTGAACAAAATGGTTTAAAACATTTGTTAAAAGGTTCAATTCCCAATTTTACAACAGCATAAAGCAATTTGTGCAAGTTTTGTAACCTTCCAGTTGAAGCGTAGTTGCTCCGCTGAGGCTGAATTGTCTGTTTTCTTTATAGGCTCATGTTCTGTCTGTGCTGAAGACCTTTATATACTGTTGAGTGAGCTGAAACGTAATAGTTAGAATCTAAAGTCCAAAAGCAGAGTTTCTCTGGAGATCATCCCACAAATCTGCACCCATTCTGCCTGCTGTTGCCATGGAAATATTCCCTACCATATTTGGATGAATCCAGCATAGCAGCTGGGGAGATACTGTATATGGAGAATGTGCATGTGTTATATGTGAATGACTATTTGTGTGTGAGACTGTCAGAGAATGTGTACAGTATGTCAGGCTTTTCTGTTGCTACAGAATACATATTAAGAGAATCATTAAAGACATTCAGAGCACTTATTAACAATGCTAATGGA